CTGATTCGAGGATTTAAAGAAACATTCACAATCGAATTAACCGTCAAAGAAGCTGATGGAAGAGCTAAAAAGTTGGGTAGCAAACCATCCAGCTAACCCATTAAGTTTTGTCTACCAAATCGCCAAAAAGTTCCATAATATAGCACAATTCCTCGAGAGATGCATACACAAGGGCGGGGCCAGCTTTCAAGTCAGTTCAGTCAGGACAGGAATCAATTCAATTGCAATAATAAATGTAATTAAAAAACTGTTGCATTGGTATATGTCGCAGTAATTTTAATCAAATAACAAAATCAATTTTCTTCCATCGTGTTTTCTCGCAAAACGAGTAATGACTTCCTCCACTTCAAACGATATGGTTTGGTGAACGTGGAGAAGTGCCAGTCCAGTTAAGCGCTCTTCTACCATTGAAGCTCTAAACATAGATGAAGACAACTAAAAGGCTCTAAATAAATTTGGCAAAAAGCTGATCCGAGATTCCGAGAACTCGTGCAAAAATAAGGCGACTGATTCCACAGCTCTTAATGAGGCGTGAATATTGAATGTGGAGATTCTCTTTGGATCACTTTTGCACGGTACATCCAGCTGTTTAAAGCATAAAAATTAACTTTATGACTCGGTTTCATAAAAATTGAGCAAAATGTTAAATCGAGAGCTCGAGTGAAAAGCAAGTTTCGTATTCCGTCGAAGTATTGAATGTCGATCTAACTATGGCTCTACACAACGAATCCAGCTGAAAAGACACAAAGGTTCGTAAAAATCAAACAAAAGTCCTTTCGACTTCTTCTGATGCTGCATGATTGCAGATGTTCATATTTGGATGGGAAACTTGTTTTGTTTTCGACGACTACGGTGTTTTGCAGAAACCTGGTAAACATGATTTCTAATCCATAAATGTTTTAGCTTGAACTGAGTTTAGTTTATCGAGAAGCGCATTTTTAATTTATCTTTATTTCCTCTCTTTATTTCAAATAACAAAAATTTTCATAAAATTACTGTAATACTAAAGAATGTTGTTCTTTCTTTCCAGGTTGCACGATGCAGCTTTCGGTAAGTTTGGCATTACTTGCCCCTGCTTGCCATGTAGATGTAGAGCTTTTAGTCACAATTGATGACTTGTATTTTATGACATTATTGTGTATCATATTTATTCGACGTACAACGACAAGGGAAGTTCTAGATTCTGTGTTGAGTTTGGATAATTTTCGATTTTTTTTGTTAAATTAATTTAAACTTAGATATTATACGTTAGCGAATGTCTCTACAGCAGACTGTTTTGATATGTAAGATTAATAACTTTCTATTATGAACTACACTTTTTATTGCCTTGGCAGGGAATTTGCGTCATTTTCAGGATTTTTCTTCTTTAACTTACACCCTAAATTGAACTGTTCTCAAAAGAAGTAAAGCAAATTTAAAGTCGTTCTGCTGTGAAATACACTTGATATTGCCATTTAAGGTAATTATTTACTGCGTAATTATTTACATTGCAAGTAATCACTCAATGGTGTTTTCCATGGTAATTATCATGTTTGGGACGATCTGGACTTCGAGAATAAAGAGTTACTAACCCTAATAAAAGTCAGTTGTGGAGGTTTTTTGAAGAAATTCCTTCTACTACCCCTTTTCGATGCTCGAAAGTCCACTATTCTCCCATTAGGCAGCACATACGAAAACGTGAGTCCATTGTTTTTTGTACTCCTTTCAATGCATGTGATATTGAAATGTTGATGTATGAACAAAACTAATTTGATCAGACATCTTATGTAGATATTTGGGTTATTGTTGGTTATCCATTGATACTTTTCAAATAATTTAAATCAGCTGTCTCAACCAAAATAAGAAAAATCGAAAACAACCACAACGGAAGTAGTGTATCCATTAAGAAATTGTTAGTAGAGGGATTTATAGCGAGTAGAGGGAGCTAGGGAATTTATAACAGAGGTAAGTTTTTATTATCGAAATCCAGAGAGGCTCAAACTAGGTAATTAGGAACTCTTCCTTCTTTGAATTACACCCTAAATTAAACGGTTCTTGTTTCTCATAAGGGAGAGCAAATGTTTGCAAAATTTTAATTATTTAATTCAATCTGCAGAAAAAGTCTTCAAAATCAAGATATCAACACTGGCATTTTTCTGTTGTAAATTTGTTTTTTTTGCTGCATTGAAATGTTAAAATAGAGGGGTTTTAGGGAATTTTCGACGGTCTAGATCTGGAGAGCATTTAATTTTGTAGAAGTAGATGGCAACCAGGCTTGTAGTTTTTCTTTGATACCATTTACGCTTCTCGCATGTGCAGATTGTAAATTTTATGATGCGAATTTTATAAAATGGGTTCTTCGAAATTATAGCGCACTTATTTTCGTATGCTTCAGAATTTTCTTCAGATCAAACAGGTAACTTTTCCAAGTGCCTTTATGCGCTAATAACAGTGTTTTCTTATCGACTCTGTGAAATAAAAAGTTCCGCTTCAATCTGAGGCAGCAATGGAAACATAAACGCAAGAAAAACTGTTAAATACGGATTTTGACCTTGGCTGCTTTTATTTGCTTAAATATGTATATATTTTAATTATAATTTGAATATTGTAACCACGCTAAGAGCATAACTGAGGTTGGATGAAAGAAAGGCACTTTAGAGCTAACGGCCCATTCTAACAAACAAAATTATTCGATTGAATTTACAGATAATCTTCTTTTGAGACATTTAGCTGCAATTATATACATAGTACTTTATTTATCATGTACACACAAACCAAGAAAGACACTTAAGCAAAACCACAATTAAAAACGGAGCCTCTGTTTGCAAAAAATTATATTCTTTAAAAAATTCGGGTACTCGGCCTTAAATGCACTGGCATTTTTTGAGTGAGAGTATTTTGATTGAAAACTGATCTGTTCGGCATTAAAGTCTTTATAAATGTCAACTTTTTGAACTAATAGTAATTTCTGAGATTTTTATTCAAAAGGTTGCACACTCCATGAGTTCGAACTAGTTTTCCTCCTCAGACTAGAATCGTTTTTGCAGCTACTTCTTTTGGGGGTTTTGGAACTTTTGAAACATCGTGATATTTAACGAAGTTACGGGCAAAAGAGTGGAGGTATGCGCAAATGGAACATTATCTCCCAAACCGTTGCCAACGGAAATTTTTTCGTTTTGAAAACACGCTTTGCTGTTTTATATCTTTACTTATAAAAAAATGTTGTTGGAACATATTTTACAAAAATGCAGCCAAACTAGCAACACAAAAAGAGAAAAACCAAACAAGAATCAATATATCTAAATCTGCAAATGTGCGCTTTCGATGAGCACATGCTTATTTCTACCAGTTTATAGTTCCCCCAAAAATCTTAAATCTGCGCCAACTGTCTCGTCTAGTAAAATCTTGATAAGATACCAATTGGGTAACTACAGTTTATCGCACCGTCATTTATAATTAGAGAATTTAAGCTTTATCCGATTCTACAAACATAATGGAACATGTCACACTATTACGCTAAAATAAGTATTGGGAATACTACTACACTTCGAGTATGCTTACTCAGATTAGGATAATTGTATTGTTTCTCAGATACCTAATTACATTGATAAGATACAGGCGCCGGTTGGAGGTTTTACCGAATATTTCGGCAATAGTAGATATATAAGTAGTAAGTCCAATAAAAATACTCGAATTTATGCGCTGAAATTTAATTATTTATATAATAACGTACTTAACAACATTCCGAACATCGTAATGAACTCGCGAAGTAATTACATTATACGAATGATCGATTAGTTTAAACACGAGTTTGATTATAAAATTCAAATATTTTTATTTTTTGAAAACATGGACAAGCAAGCTAAGTAGATTTGGTTTTATAAAGTTACATTTTCAATTTTGAATTTTGAAAGTTGCAAAATCAAAAGTTTCTGTTGCTTAATGTTTAGTGTTTTTTTCCTGCTAAAATGGATTTCGGACGGGATCATAAAGTATTTAGTTTTCTTTCAGCTAAACCGAAAATTTTAGAGGCGCTCCTCTCAGATAAAGATTTGGGTTTTCCATCAATCAGCTTTTTCCTTAACAGTTTCAGTTAATTTATTTGATTAACATACACTTTGATTAATCCGAAAATTAATAAGCGATTTATCAGCCCTTTTTGTAATTTGTCCTTTAACTTTTCTGTACTTTCAAATACTGTATCGTTTTCTGACTTGCTCTCCTCGACTCGATTGAAACTATTTGAAGCGTAATAATTTTATGTTAATTTCAAGGATATAATTATCTTCATTAAACTGTTATAAAAATATATACCTACTAAACCTTAAGAAATTGACGAACCTTTTCCTTTTAAAACATTTACATTTTTCGTTTTTTTTTTACCTTTCATGTTCAATATGGTTTCATGCTAACTTTATTTGCTCTTTGCTTGCTCTTTCAACAAAACCTTCTTATCGACCTAAGAAGATTCTGAACTTTCACATATTTTAAGCAGCAGAAAGAAAACTTATTTCTCCTCAAAATTTGAATGTGACCATGAATCACTATAAATTTTTGATTTAACGTTTGTCGTAATTCTCTGCGAACTAACACAAACGTTTTTGTTATAATTATGAGCACAAATTTGCGATAATTGTCATCAGAAACACTGCTCGTGTAGTGCATATCACCATCATCTTGTCTTTGTCGGTTTAATTTGAGCAAGCATGAGTGCATTAAAAATAAAAATGAAGTCAACTTTACAGGATTAGTCAATTTTTGATTAGGCGAGCGTGTTTTTATCTGGTAAAATTATCAATATGGTTTTTACAAAATCGGTGATCTGCCAATTTAAACTTCTTTTGTAGATCTAATCAAATGTTAAATTCAAAATTGCATTTGCATGATTTTTGACCATATTGAAAAAAATGTCTCAAACACAACAGCGGATATAACAACCATTAGCTGAAACAAAACATGCAGTCCAAAGCACAATAACTCATGCTCAAACGTGCACTTTACACCTATTTATTGATACCTACCCGAAACCAACTTGCCACCTGCGCGTGCCCAAATGAAAAATAAAATAAAATAATAAAGTACATGACAGTGTATTATATGATATACGAAATTATGGCACATTTTTCACATGGTTAGGTCGCTTTTTAAATAACTTGTTTACTTATATATCGTCAAAACCAAAATTAACGAAATCTAGAAAACAATAAGAAACAAAACGGCGGGAAGTGATTTGATCAGAAAAACACCGACTACGATGTAAAAAGTTGTCAATTATTATTCAATATTAAATTTGATTGAAATGTTCTCCATATTTTTGTTATAACTTAATAAGGACCATTAAACCTAATGATATCCTTTTAATGGTGCTGATTAGAAACTGCAAAACATATTTCTTGTATCACTTTTAATTGATCTGCTTCGTGTTTGCTATACATTCAGGATGTAATGAAACTAAAAATAGGAGCGATGATGATATTAATTAAACTTTCAGTCTTTTTGTTCAATTTCTACTTACTACATAAATACATTTAATTAATTTGATCTGCCTTATAAGTTTTAAATAGTAGTGTTTTGAAAGTACATATCCATAATATCTAATTCCATCGCTACGTTAAATAGCGACAAATTTAATGATTTTCGTTGAACAATGGTGATAATTGGGCTCAGATATACATTTACATCTCATATTTTTAAACAACATGCACCAGAATCAAAAGAAATTAATACATATTCTCAATTACCTCAATCTGTATAATATAAACTATATCCAATAACCATTTACTTAATCGACTGAAAATTGTGCCAATTGCGTATACTAGAATTACGGCGATGAGAAAGTCAATTGTCGATAATTATTATTGAAAGAACATCAGCATCATATCTTAATACTTGATACAAGAATATGAAGAAATGAACATTTTATTGATTGACTTTATCGAAAACCTGTTAGCGTCCAATTAGATTTAACAGTCTCTTCGAACATTTCAACTAAAGAAAGTCTAAAAGTTTTTATGACAGAAAATAATTTAATTTTTTTGAATCAAATAGATCTTTTCAAATTTAGAGTAACTAGCAATAGACGACAGTATAAAATAAAAATTAAAGTGTTGTATTATTAAAAAGTACTCGCTTGGACTTGATATTCAAACAATATAATGCTTGATACAAAGGGTACCTTTAACTACACAGTTTCAGTTAAAGCATTGACAAAACTTCAAAAAAGAGTAAATATTTTAGAATGTGATTTTCTATTTTTGCAAAATTATCTAGAGTTTCTTGAATTGAACTCAATTAATATTTCAGTAGTATGAATGTTGAGTTGCAAGTAAATGTACAATAAATTAATTTGAACCAGCAGACTTTTCCAGTGATGAAACGAAATATGTAATTTGGAAAGTAAAACTTTCAATATCAAGACAATAAGGCTATTATGAAATAATTACGCCTGAATTGAAACCGGATTAGTTGGGCTTTCGCTCTTGAACTCACATTCATCTCAACTCCTTCGCACATAAAGTTTTCCTCATCACCGTAAAGCTTGCGGTAAAATAAGCTTATCACACGCTTCAATCAAACGCAAATCTTGTTAGTTATCTACAAAGCACATATTTACATTAGGCGTAATTGCGCCGGTAGATACTTTGAATTGTTGTTATATTTTCGCATAATCGTAAATTAAACTGGTTTCTATGTTTGAACTAGTACTATCACTTTTCGATGGGTTTCCTGGTATAGTACTGTATTATTTTCCAATTTCTGCATAGCTAATTCGGTGTATTCAATTAGTTAGTTGTAACACTGAGGTATTATCAACGTTTTATAAAACTGTATTGTTTTAAAAAATTATGTACAGAAGAAGTAGACGCTATTGAAACAAGTTGATTTTTTTTAATTTTAAACGCAATAAGTGAGTGAAAAACTAAAACATGTGTTGATAAAATGTGCATGGTGTGGTACAAGATGTAAATTTTGCTGTAAAAAGCGCACGTTCTGAACTGGATATTATTGCTGTGAAAGCCAGTGATTGTAAAATCAACTATCCTGAACAAAACCAACTGTGTAAATTAATTCCAAACTCATGCGACTCCAGTTCATAACACTTTAATGAAATATTTATAATCAAAGTACTTCATATTTTCAAGTGACTTGGCTGGAAGTTTCCGAATTATTTCCTACTAAGGAGATTTAAAAATTGAATTTTCATTAAAAATTGAATTCAATCAGTTTGCTCAGCTCTGGATTCGTCTAATGTTTTAGGAGTCTGTGACTAGAAGTTTGGTATTATGAACGAACAGTATTTAAACAAAAGATTTTGCATATTGAAGTACAATTATTGAGCTTAAAATAGCTAAAATAGTAGTAGAGTAGTAAGTGGCTCAGTAGAGTAGTAAGTGGTCAAATTTGAAATTTTATATTGATCTTTCATTTTTTTTCTCATAAAGCAACAATTATCGAAATTAAATTTTTAATAAACTCAAGCTATTTACATACACAATTTTTTTCTCCAGGAACCACCTTTTCTTGAAAAAATTAAGACTTAAATAAGTACTTCAACTTTGAACCACCATGATCTGATAAACTGCAACATTTCCACCAGCCATATTAAGCTCAATTATATTGCCTCCAATTTGAAGATAGCCTTTCTTCTTGAATCATCCTGTGTATAAACATTAACGGTGTTATTCATTATTCATGTGAATCAAAGATGTTCAATTGATCAAAAAGGCTGTTTCTTGGATAATTATGGGTGTGCATCCAAAAGCAAAATACGTTTTATTAACTGCATCGTGAAATTAAATCTCTTCAGTGATTTATGATTCGTAACTGCATGAAACCTTCTATTCCTCATCAGTACCTTCACTTCCAAATGTGGCATAATTAGCTATTAGTTTCCGGGCAAATAAATCATGCAATTTCGTTTTAGGCACGGTTTTTATACAATTAAAGTTATTAATGGCAATTGTCCCAGCACAAGCCTCTCACAACAATCTAAAATGTGACCATATAACTCTATACTGAGTGGTTGAATTTGGATTCTGTTTATGAGATTACAGTGGAGTTTGAATTTGCAAAACAATTACCTTGGGCAGGGCGGCTAGACATTGTTGCTTAACGTCCCAAACGAGCTGATCTCGAGGGAATTGCAGACATTTCTGCACGCTGAGCTCTGGTACGTGGATGCGCACCAAAAGGTAGCCTAAGCCATCAGCGCCATTGCGCAGCTCGCCCTCCTCCTCCATTGTGGTAGCTGGTATCACCTCACATCTGAATTAATAAATAAAACTCAATAATGCGCTTAGAACAAAAAATCAATGTTTTCTTTTATTTACATATTTTGTTCGTTGTTCGTTTGTTGTTTGTTAACATGTAAATCCCAGTTTGCAACAAAATCTGGTGAAAAGAAACACGGGTTTGGTAATTTAGTATGTAATTACATCTTTATTATAAATGTTCCTACCCAAAAACTAAACCGTTCGATGATGATTTTCGATGATAGACAACCTGGTATGCAAACGATAAAGATCAGAAATATTAATAGGGAAATCTACAGTTTGCAAGAAATTATCGATCGTTTCCAAACTGGAAAAAGTGCCTCGCCGTCTTCCGAACTCATACGAAATTGCTAATCACTTTCGATGTCGTGCAGCATCGGCATAGTTGTAGGTTTTTGTTTGGAAAATATTAAACTTTAATGAGCGAAAAGTGGTCGAAACCGGCATTTGCCCTAGAAATACCACTAAGAAAAGTAGCTGGTAAAGACATAATCTACAAGGTAGTCGTGATTTTTAACCACAAATTGATAATATAAAGTTTTCCAAAACTATGTGCCATAATCGGTTTCAATTTCTAGAAAAGTTACATGTTTTAACGTTGACGCTACGGATTGGGTTCTCATAAACCCTTTTATTGCAGCAACTTATTGTACGTTGAGTATAACTCGTTACGAGTAAAATATAGCGTCAGAGAAGTCTCTCCGACGTCTCAAGAAAAACTTATTTAGAATCTGGCAAGAGCCCTTTTTACATAACAAATGGGAATGAACAAAAGTTATGAATATAACTTATTTAAACTTAAAAAAAAAGCATCAATGGTTATAAAGTTATGCTCAAAAAACGGATTTTCGCACTTTCTTTAATTATTTCAACAATGTTCCACAGCTGGAAATCGTGCACCAATTATGTTCCTAATTTTCTGACATCCTTGCAAGCAACTTCTAATAATCTTTTATCTTCATCTATTTAGTGCCCGGAAACAATCTAATCCAACCGGACTATCATCAGTTTCAATGAATCATCGCGTAAGCATATTTCTTATGATATAAAACTTCAGACGAGTTATTTTTATGCAAACCCTCAGAAGTCGCAACAAAGCTCTCGTTTTTTTTCAGTTTAGTCTTGGTTCTTGTTAATCATGTAATTTCAATTTCAATATTTAACTGCTGCACTTTCCTTTATTCAAATGCTTCAGTTGAAAATTTTTCCGTTTATCACTTTATCACTTTGTTTGCTTCGCTTGTTTGCAATTCTTAGTTCAAACTCCTAAGCAACACTATACCAAGTTACTATCAGTTCGCTTTTTTCTGCTTTTACAGTAAAAAACGTAATAACAAGTAAAAATGTTTAAATGGGAAAACCAAAGCTGCGTTAAAGATGAAAAAAATGGGTCATTTGAGGTGTGGTGATATTTAGAACGTCATTTAAAATCTAGATCATCTACTCAATCTAAACAACGTTTTTCATTCAACCAGATAAGACTTGAGGGTCGATGACGAGGTTCAATTCTACTACTGAGAAAATACTGTTTAATTTACTTACATAGTTTCCCAAAAGAACATTGAATAATCAGATGAAAAGAGCCTGTTTTTGTCACTTTCATCATCTTAATGTGTTTAAAAGAGAATTTGGTATTATTTGTTATTTGGTATTTGCATGAAAAATGGAGAATTGTTATACCGTCTTTAAGTATAAATCGTTATTATCATGCCATCTGTGTCCAAAATAAATATAAAAATGTGAGAATTTGCCAGGCCCAAGCAACGAGAAAAATTATTTGTCCCAAAAAGTAGGTAATCATGACTTAGAAGAAAATTTGGGAAGTTCAGATCAAACTTTGAGTTTGGTCACTTTATTGTCGCTGTTGTGTTTTTTACTGCTTATTTATAATATATTAACAAACACACATTAATACTTTAGTTGATAAGTACGAACTGGAAGTGTAAGGAATAAATTTACGGAATTTCAAATACCTACCTAGTATTTCGAACATAGGCAAAGTTAATGTTATCTTGAACAATCCATATTTTGAGAACTGAGAGATTTTTTATGAAACGTTTTTTTTATTTTAAATCAATCATTCAACATACAACAACACGTTTATTTTAATTTCCCATACAAATCGCCTAAATATAAATATGTTCTTCTTCAAAATGATTTTACTTTCTGCTGTAACAAGTTAGAGAATATTTTTAGTTAAAGTTTTGTTTTACCGAGAATAGTTTTTTAGTATTAGGTGTGTGAAAACAATTAAAACAGCCATTTAAACACCGCGATTTTCCAGTGTAAAAATTGGTGATTGAAATTGGTGATGAAAGACTTTTTGAGTAAGAAAATGTACGTATTCAATAAAAAAGAAATAGAAAAATATATTCTTCTTCTGACCCTGAAGTAAATCGAACAACTGACAAAAACTTTCTGAACAATATGTAACGTTTTTGTAGAAAATAATCGTTATAAATTATAAATTTACCATAAAATACTATTATAGAACATGAGTAAATAAAATGTGTATTTTAGTTTTGTAATAGGCAAATGATAAAATGCTCTAATCAGGTCAATTTCCAGTGCCACGCCAAAACAATTGATCATTATTATTTCCTTAAATCCATTTAGGCTTTCAATAAACCAACATGACTTTTAATGAACACACTAGATATATTAACTATTTTCAAAAGGCCATGAATGTATCGTATTATTCGGCAGGTTCTCCAATACACTTTTGTGTTAGAAGAATTTCCATATTAAAAACCACAAATACCTGCAAACCTTCATACTTACAATGGCGTGCTAAATGTGTTGGACGTTGTTGCAAAGCTATGTATGCGTTTTAGTTGCTTCTTCATGCCAGCAAATTTTCAATTCACTTTATTTTTTTTTAAACTGCTCACTAAGAGGAAACTCAACTGTTCGATTCTCATTGCATGATGAAAACTCATACTTCAAGAGCACATACACAAGAACAAAACTGATGGAAAACTGATGTAAATTCGCTAAGTACACTGGTGCTGATTAGTGATTGTTCCTCATGCACAGGCTAAGTATTAACTGACAAATAGAGCTGACTTTGTCGGTTTCTGATAGTAAATCTTGATTCTGCTGTATATAAGTGAGATAGCAAATGGGGAGACATACTTTATCTTATCTTATCAGCTATTTCACCTACAGGTTTCTGTTTTGAACTTCTTTGGATAGGCTGAAGGTAAAATTGTTAAGGTGGGCCTTTTCAACGCCACAAAGAACGCATTATTAACGTGATTTACTTTATAACAACAGTATTTTAGTAGTTAACAATGCGTTAGCAGTTAATAAAGCGCAGTAATATAAATTGGTACATATTTAGATGCTACAAAATTTTGAATTTATTTGCGAACTTAATTACTCATGCACTTTAGAAGTTAATCATAAAAATCTGATAAAGACTCTCATGACTTTGTGTTTAGTCACTGCTAAAATATAAAATAGCGACGTTAAGATTTTCGGAACCCCTAAGAACATACTGATTTAAATGCAACTGATTTTTCCAATATAATTTAAAAAAATTGTATTATGCCAAAGTCGTTGAAATATATACAATTAGAGAGTGAATAATCATATTAAGTACTTAGAGATCTAGTTATGAGCCAACAGATTGTAATGAAAAACAGTTGGATTTATGATGATGAAAAGTAAAGTGAAAGCTCATGTAACTAGAAATTTAAAATGATTAGCGCCTTAACAGAGTTAGTGACTTCCGTGCCATAAATTTGTCCACTTAGGAAGAATAACGTAAATCTGCGAACTTGCCATAAAGCCTGTTATGCAAGAGAATTTACATTCACGTTTAAATCAATGAATGCAACAAAAACTGTATGCTATGTGAAGAAAGAGGCGGAATATAGATAAACGACACGATAGATATAATTCGGTTAAATTTAAAATTCAGCAACATTCACAGCATATATTTATCTGGAAACTTACTAATTTTAGTCGAGTTGATGCGAAGTTCAACCACTGGTTCCTGACTATTGTTCGGAAGTTTTCACCAATTTTCCGAATATCGCGCAAATCTGAATCGTTGAATTCAGGTTAATTCACAATTGCTGAATGATTTTCAAATATCCTTTTACTCGACATAACCAGATTTTACGGGAACCAGTGCTGTCAACAGGATGGACCAACTTTGCTTTTGCTAATTAAGAAAACGTGCCCAGAATTTTGGTAATTCGTGCTTTTACTGAAACATAATTACCTACTTTGAAACTTTTCACATTATTTCTCCTCAGACGTATGAATTTGGAAAGCTTAGAGGGTTTTAAAATCTAGTATATTAGACAATATTTATTATTAAATGAATCTTAGTAATATCACAAGTTCATCAACAAAAATACACATACAAAAATGTACAAATATTCTTTACAGAATATTTCTTTATTTTTTACAGAAATATTTTATTCTTTACAGAAATTTTCTTTTCAGAAACTTTCTATACTGCAATAATGATACAAGAGAATTTTTACATATTTTTTCCAACTGTAGTTCAAAAGCTACGAAACAAGAAAGTTCAAAACCATGGAAGAAGCGAACATTATCCAGTGTAATTTGAATATATAAAAAAATAATATGGAAATTTTAACTGAATTTTGAAACCGCTCTTATTCTTAATCTTACCTCAAGTGATCTCGATTCTAATCCAAATTGACAACAAACAATGACGATAAATTTTCTAGGTCAAAAAATTATTTTTTCGGTCCGTCTTTTCGGTTAATAGATTACTTTAAAATTGTGTTTCCAGTATTTAAACCATTTCCAGCCAGTACAGTTTATATGTGCGCATATTTTCTATGACGGAATACAAATTGCAAAAGAAAACTATTTCTAAAAATATTAGACTTAGACAATTACAATTTGATAATAAAACTACCATTTCTTTCTTTCGATCCAATGCCTCTGCAGCTTTGAAAATAGGAAGATTCTGCATCGTTTTAGTATCCTGCAAAAGAGTAGAATCGC